CCCCCCGGTCAATGACTTCATAACATCATCATCTTTTCAGTCCCTCATCTTGAGACTGTAAATAATGGGCATTAACCTAAAAATACCTTCTTTCCAGAGATGGCAAAATTTCAATTTGCTTAACAGCACTATAGAAATAAGTTCAGTACAACATTATAATTTCAATGTTCATTTGAAATGGCACACAGAAGTGCTTTGCTCATCGGGTTACAATAAAAATTTCCAGTGAATAATTAAGCATAGGCTAGTTTAAACGACTTTTTTAACCAACTTAATGTATGACTTCTGCTTATAAAATTATAAAACAGGTCTCCCTGAAACACTGTTTCAAAGTACATTCAAAATAGGAACTAATAGAATTTGTAAATTGTCAAGTTTACCCATGTGATTAAAAAGAAAGAAATGTGGAATGGAATTTTGTCTGAGCTTCTTGATTAGTCTGTCATTTGTGTTTTATTCTTTTCTATATTCCTCAAATGAGGCTTAAACTGGCTTATGCAGCCAAGGCTCTTGAGTTTCTTTGAACATTCAGTTCAACATCAATACATTGACAGAGCATTCATCAGAGTGGAATCAAATAGTCACACTCACATGGTCTTCACCTAGAAAGGTGCAAGCACTCTACGCAGTTACGAGATGCCGTAGACAGCAACCTAAGAAAGTTGCCACAGTGTTTGTGTTAGTCCGGTACCAGCCCCAGACAACACTGAATGAGGATCAATGTTGAATTTCAAAATGAACCTGAAGTTTTGCCGACGAAGTAGAATTGAAGTACATGGAGAAATCCCCAATTCTTAACATATGTCAATATTACATGACATAATTTATTTTTAACAAATATACACAAGAACTAATGTAAAATATTCATAGGTGAATACAAAAATAAATGTTTCTCACATTCAACACTATTCAATAAAGGAAGCTATGAAGAAACCAGCCATATGTTTAAAAAAAATCTGAAGGGAGGGAGGGAGTACAGATGAATGGAAGGAAGCAAGCAAGGTAGGAAAGGAGAGAGGGCATGAGGGAGGGAGGGAATAAGAGAGAAAGACAGGCAGGCAGGCAAACAGGCAGCTGGTGAAAGGTGAAGGAAGGGCAAAGTGAATGACCTTGAAAATGTGAGGAAGTTCAGGGCAGGGAAACAATAAAACATAAAGGTGCCTTTCCAACTGTGGCTGATTTTACTTTCGTTCTAAGAAATAGAACTAATCCTTTAAAAAGACTGGCACAGAAATCAAAATCATTTGGTAGAAGTACAGAATGTGGATAGAGAAGCACTGCGTTCTTAGCAAAGGTGTGAGAAGCAGTACGTGAATTTCAAGGAGGCAAGGTTGGTGAATCCAAAGAAATAATCAAATCTTGCTATCTTCCAACCAGGAGATACCTCTGTGGTAAGATCTACTTCCTTCTATGACAAGAGAGTGTCCTGGATACATAAATGAGCAAGTCTATATTATGATGATATCATGTGTAGATAATGGCAGACAAAAATTCTTCCTAGTCCTGAAGTAAGTTCTGAATAACCCACATGGTAAGAGAATAGCATTACCTTATAGTACAAAGTTTTGCCAGAATTTGATTAGGGATTGGGTTCAATTAACAATAGGCTAAGCTAACACCATGGATCTATTTAAATATTCAAAGTTAGCTTATGGGCTCTTTTACAGGAAGTTATAGATGTCTCAGATAAAGGTGATAAAACTTGGTGAGCTGGCTTGGAGTGTGTAAGCTAAGCTTCTGCCTGCAGCACCAGCACTGCATATGGGCACGTGTTTATGTCCTGGCTACTCCACCTGTGATCTGGGAAAGCAGCAGAGGATGGCTCAGGTGCTTGGGCCCTTATACCCACGTGAGAGACCCAGAAAAAGCTCCTGGCTCCTGGCCTTGGAACAGCCCAACCCTGACTATATAATGAGGTGGGGGCTGGAGTGAGGGTAGGGAACCAGCAGATGGAAGATCTCTGTCTCTCCTTCTCTTTGTAAATCTTTAAAAACAAATAAATAAAAGGTGATCAAACTCTAAAATAAGGCTAACATACTTGGGCCTCCACCTTTTACAATTTTAAATCCTTCTGCCTGAAAAGGCAGGTAAGCCTCAAATCTAATGGTCAGGTTCATCTAGAAGAGCTGGTCTTCTATGCTGAAACCACTGAGCTGATTCATTGCAGTTTCTGTCTGCAGGGCGGGTGGGGGAGGAAAAAGTCATATAAACCAGGGTACATGTACTAAATTACCATTTTAGGGCCTACAAATAAATACAAACTTAGACCACAGAGAAGTCGAGCTGGCCTTCTAAAGAAAGGTATGTGTACTCCTAACAGGCAGCAATGATTAACAAAACCTCTTCAATTTCTGTGAACTGCAGTAATCTTGCCTTAATGGGGGCAACGCAGGGAAAAGGAGGCAAGGTGTGGTCTACTGGGTGCCATTTGTCAAGACTGCAAGTTGGGACAAAAAGGACACAAAAGGAAAGCTCTATGGATTTATATTTGCTTTTACTTAAAGACACTAAAACAAGCCTTCATTTACACAATTGTGCTGGGCCCAGGAAGCAAGCAAATCCTACATTACAGGTGTGCAAAAGCCAAGAGTGTAGAGGAAAGTCTAGGTGAGCAATAAAGACTGAGGGGCACATGATGGGTGGCTCACTAATTTGCCCAGGCACACCTGGAGCCGAAAGCACATCAGTGCCTTTGGAAATCCAGTAAGAGAAATCAGCAGCGTGCGAGTTAGCATGTGTAGGTGGCTCTATTGTGAGGCTGAGGGGTTGGTGGGCCCCATTCCAACATTCTTGGGGCACCAAAGGACAGACCAAACCTGAAAGGAAGCAGATTCAGTGTTACACAGTATTCAACTGCATTAAATTACTTAAACTCTTAAGAAAATTCCAGGGCCTGGAGCGCCGTAGCCTAGTGACTAAAGTCCTTGCCTTGCATGTGCCAAGATCCGATATGGGCATTGGTTTGTGCGCTGCCGGCCCTGCTTCCCATCCAGCTCCCTGCTTGTGGCCTGAGATAGCAGTCGAGGATGGCCCAAAGCTTTGGGACCCTCCACCCACATGGGAGACCTGGAAGAGGCTCCTGGCTTCAGATCGGCTCAGCTCTGGCCGTTGCACCCACTTGGAAAGTGAATCAGGACAGATCTTTTCTTTATCTCCTCCTCTCTGTATATCTGCCTTTCCAATAAAAACAAATAAATCTTAAAAAAACAAAAAACCACAAAAACCGCCAGCAAGGTTTTCACCATTATACTACAGCTATGTTATACCAATTCTGTCCCATAAAAATCTACAAATAAAACTGCCAGGCTTGTGTTGATTTTCCTACTATATGATGAGAATCATATGCAGTGGCCATTTGTAATGAGAAATAAAATTTCTACAAATGCATCTCCAAAGTTGAGAACAGTATGTCTCAAAAAGGCATAGCCATAGAAAAGATACTTAAAAGAACAGAATCAACATACATAAGGTTGTCAGAACACAGGAATTACTGCTTCTTAAATGCTGCAGAACTGAAGCATGTGTCTAAGGCTTGGCTATGCCACTAGAAAGCTGTAAAGTCCCAGACAAAACACCAAAATTTCTCCAGGATGCAATTACATCTTTGGTAAAACAAGTAAGATAAATTTCATGGACTAAACAAAAACATAGTTATAAGAATGTTACGGCTTAGTTCTCTTGTTTAATTTCAGTGGGCTTTTGAAAATCTCAGTAACAGATAAATGATAAATGCAAAATCTGCCATAATTAATAATACATAGATTTCAATAAATGAAGAAAATATTATTTAAAGAAAATAAAGGGTATTTTTGGAAAGATTTGCTCCAATACTTCAACCAGCATTAAGCTTAGAATTTTTAAGACACCTCTAATGCAATAAAGTATATACACACATCAGAGTAATATAAACCCTGTAGACTAACTCTAAAACCAAAGTAGATCCTCAGAATAATTCAGTAAATGGGGGGGGGGGGAGACCCCAAACAAACAAAAAATAAAGTACTGAGGACAGCGTCCACATTTCTTATCACTGGGTCACTGAATTCTAGAAATCAAAGTTCAGAACCTTAAAAATGCCTGGAAAGGCAAGTTGTAGCAATAGGAAGCTAAGAGGTAGAAAGGACATTACATTTACTCTATTCTGGTTCCCAAGTCAAAAAACAAAAAAGGCTAGGCATTGGGCTTGTCTTTCTCCCTTTGAGAAACAGACACGGAATCATCCATGGCACTATTATCTAGCAGGTACTTCCATGCTCCATCCTGCTCCTATTGTTCCAAGACAAGGCGCACACATACGCAGACGCATGCACAGGCACAAACCCAACACAGTTACAGTATATGTTACAGTAGCCACATTTTTGTTCCATTCTGAAGCAGCTTTAGGGTAACACAAACTTGTGAATTTCCACAGGATATCTTAACTAAGAAATAAAAAAAGATTACTCAAAAGTTGGGGTTTTTTTTTTGTCTTAGGTTAAAAAAATGATATCCTTTTGTTATGGAAGCTGTCAGAAAAATTTATTCTGATTTATTTAAATCAAGCATTGTCCAAGTCAGTTTCCTATGCAAATTCAATTAAATTCAAGTGCATCATCACAATGACATGTTTAAATATTCTTAGCTATGTTTCAAATATGAGTACTCCACTGTGAAATGTGTACTGTTTTACAGGATAACAAATTCTATACATTTATAGTTTCTTTAAACTTAGGTTTTCTACTTATGATTCACTTTAAAAATAACACTAATTAAATGTGCATGGTTTTCAAAAGATGACCCTATTATTCAGTATTAAACATATCTAAGAAATAATTTAAAAGCCATTTAGCAAATACTCCATATGTGACTGAAGTATTAAACATTTGTAACTACTTAGCTGGCAAGAGGAAATTAAATTTATTCTGAGGAGCTCTCACTTGAAGGACTATGCATGAAAATCCTCTCTCAACAAATCCCTTCCCTGATACAGTTAAATGCAAATTCTCCCTTCCGTCTTACTCCAGAAAGCTCCTGCACACATAGCTGATACGCCACCTACTGCAAAGCTGAGCTGACAGCGCAGGCGATGCTGCCAGCGTTTCCATTCCCTCGCCAGGCTGGGACTGAATAAAGGCGTGTTTGTGTGGCAGTATTCCTTTTTAAAAAATCTCCAAGCCAAGAAGAACAAGCTGAAATAGCATCTTCAAAAATGGAGCGTAAAATAAACAGAAGAGAAAAAGAAAAGGAGTGCGAGGGGAAATATAACAGCCTGGAGGATGCTGACCAAGGAAAGAACTGCAAATCCACACTGATGACCCTCAACGTTGGTGGATATCTATACATTACTCAAAAACAAACACTGACTAAGTACCCGGACACCTTCCTTGAAGGGATAGTCAACGGAAAAATCCTCTGCCCGTTCGACGCTGATGGTCACTACTTCATAGACAGGGATGGGCTCCTCTTCAGGCACGTCCTAAACTTCCTACGAAATGGAGAACTTCTATTGCCCGAAGGGTTTCGAGAAAATCAACTTCTTGCACAAGAGGCAGAATTCTTTCAGCTCAAGGGATTGGCTGAAGAAGTGAAATCCAGGTGGGAGAAAGAACAGTTAACACCCCGGGAGACCACTTTCTTAGAAATAACAGATAACCATGATCGCTCGCAGGGACTGAGAATCTTCTGCAATGCTCCTGATTTCATATCCAAAATAAAATCTCGCATCGTGCTGGTGTCCAAAAGTAGGCTGGATGGGTTTCCGGAGGAGTTTTCCATATCATCAAACATCATTCAGTTCAAATACTTCATCAAGTCTGAAAATGGCACTCGACTAGTACTAAAGGAAGACAACACCTTTGTCTGCACCTTGGAAACTCTAAAGTTTGAAGCTATAATGATGGCTTTAAAGTGTGGTTTTAGATTGCTGACCAGCCTGGATTGTTCCAAAGGGTCAATTGTTCACAGCGATGCACTTCATTTTATCAAGTAATTACCTGTGTCTTGGACAAAAGCAACAAGCATGCAGCCAGCAAGCTTTGGAAAACCACAGCATCCAAGGAATCCCAAATAACGTGTCCAGCTAGCTCTGAACTACAGAGCCCTGCTGCTAATCAATTACTGTGAGCTAACGGTATGTAAATCTTATCGCTAAAGATGTCCTTCTCCCGGGGGTATTCCTGCTGTTCAGACTGGTTCACCTACACTGAAAACAGTAACCAAACACTGTAAATAAAGATGGAATGCCTTTGCTATTCGTTTGTTTTTCCTTAAGCTGTCTTTTAATTAGAATGTGTTGGGGACTTGCACAAAATAAGCATGTACATGATCTATTGTTGATTTAAGTAAATGGTAATAAAGTATTTTCAGGGGCCATATGATTTAAAATCTTTTCTACTAATCAGAAAAACCTACAGACAAATTGAACTTGGTAAAATTAACCGCTGAGGGCTAAAGAGATGTGCAGATCTATCTAAAACAAACCTATTTATACTTAAGCACAATGTACATTGTAACAAAGTAATGGGGCTACTGGTTTGATTTTTATTAGCAGGCACTAAGAGCCTATTCAGAGTTTCTGTATTTCAGACGAGGATATAGGCTGAAATGGTATTCTGCTAAAAATTCCTAGAGAACTGCTTGATGACAATAAAAAAATAAAAACATTGCTAGCTTCTTTGTGTAAATCATTGTGATTAAAAAGTTACATGTGTCACTTCAAGAATGAATAAACTATTGGGTGATTTTTACACAGCAGTATATGTTACTGTAGTCCACAGGCAGACTACAGTAACTCTGGCTGCTCTTCCAAGTGACAAATATCAGCAAATCCATTTCTCTACAGGCTAGGCTCCAACACGACACTTAGTTTCAGTAGACTAAGTGGTATTAGTGGAATGACAAGATTTCTTTCTCAGAATAAATACTAAATAGTGTTTACTTCTCAATCTCAAAAATGTTACATGAATATCACTAAATATGAAGAGCTGTGTTCTATATTTTAATACCGACACCACGTTAATTATGTCATGTTAGACAAATTGTTATTGAATTGAGTTTTACATATGGCTGCTTGAAGAAAATAATCTATAAACTTAATTAGAATGCATATCTTTCCCTTCATAAAGAGCTAAACTGTCTCTGCCATTTACTCTGGCTCCTAAGGGCAAATTATACCAAAAATTTGCTCCCTTTAAAATCATTTTATTAAAAATCAAATAATTAAAACTGGTAACAAAACCTGAGTTTTAATAAACTTCTACAATAGTTTTTTGAAAATCCTGACTGATGTTAAATTAGCAAATATGTCAATTAAGTTTGGGCACTTGTAAAAACTTAGAATACAGGAACAAAGTCAGTATTTACTCCCAAAACTGTAACTGACTTCAGTTGTAACACTAAGGTAAACATAAAACTGGCAGCACATAATAAACAAACCTTTCAAATCTGTTATATAAAAAAAAGTTCTTATAAAAATTCATATTAAAAACAACAAACTCCACATTAACGACACAGCTTGCTTTATGCAAACTAAGCAGAAAATGCTTCTACTAAAACATGTAATTATCTCTTAAGACTTTCTAAATGGCCTAATTAAGATTTAAAGACACTATAAAAATAGGGCAAATTTATTTCAGAAATCACTACATTTGAGTTGAGATCCCATGCCAGCTCTCATGATTTGATTTTTCCTTGACATTTCCAATTGGTATTTAAAAAAATGGTAGTGATTTAATGTCAAAGTAAGGTTTTCTTTACAGATAATAAAAACAGCCCAGACATATCTTTTAACAGGCATTATACCTATTTCCTTGGAAATACTACAAATAAGGTTTTTGCATTGATTCACAAAATGAGAAATCAACTGTTATGAAGTTGTTACTGATAGAAACTTCTAAGGAAACCAGATTCAATTTTATGTAGCATTTCGAAACATTTTATCTGGCTGCACTTAATTCCTCACTAAGATTTTGATAAATCACAATATTGTTAAGCAATCTAATAAGCTATAAGGAATAATTTTTTTAAAACATTTATTTTCATGTTTATTGGAAAGAGAGGAAGATCTTCTGACCATTGATTCACTTTCCAAGCAGCCGCAATGGCTGGAGCTGAGCCAATCCGAAACCAGGAGCCAGGAGCCTTCCCTAGGTCTTAATGTGGGTGGAGGGTCCCAAGGCTTTGGGCCATCCTCAACTACCCTCCCCGGACACAAGCAGGGAGCTGGATGGGAAGCAGGACTGCCAGGTTTAGAACTGGTAGCCATATGGGTTCTTGGTGCATGCAAGGCGAAGACTTTAGCCACTAGGCTACTGCGCTGGGTCCAAGAAGGAAGAATTTTTGATAAGGCTAACATTCATAACTTTCCAATAAATGTTCTCTTAAATTAAAAATTAATTTACCTGGACATACAAATTTAACTACCTAAATACTATGCTCTGTTTGCATAGAAAATACCTACTTTTTATTTTTATGTCTACAACTATTCAAAAATACCATTTTAAAAAACCCACATAAAATACCAATCACAATGTCAGAGTGAGACCCCCACAGTATTTTTGTTTGCAGTCATGGAAAAACTACTCTAATCTTTTCTCTAAAGCAAATATTGTTTCAAAGAACAAATCACAAAGTGACTATCTTTTCTTTTCAAAAAGATAATAAAAAAAAGTAGGCTAGCTACAGTTGCCATGAGCCAATCATGGAATCCTTCCATATGGATTCCACACAGTGATTCTGGTTACCATCCTTAAAATATGAAAAATAAAACCAGCTGATGGCTGCTGCTAAATTTTAAAATGCATAATACAACATAAAGAATACATGACAAGAATTTTCAAATAATACAAGCAAAATTACCATCCTAGATTTTAGATGACACTGAATAAGCATGTTGTTTGTGTTTTTTATAATTGCCTAATTTCAAATACTACTTTTAAGATCAATTCTCAAAGCACAAACAGGCCTGAGAAAGGTGCTATTCGTTTCTCCTTCTATGAGAAGAAGTAGAACCAAGGTTCGTGAGGCTAGGTTTAAGAGTTTCCACACCAGAACCTATAACTCCTAGAACCTGGTTGGAAACGGTCATTCACCAAGTAGATATACAAGAGGGATATCAAAATAAAGGTTGCCCTTTTCCCCTTTCCTAGCTCTGCCCCGTCCTCCCCTGCATTGGCAGCCCCCTCATCCTGCCGCCTTGGCAGGAGACGTGTCCCTTCGTCTTCTCTCCCCCGGATCCCCACTCCTGCTCCTACTCTGTGATAAAAAAAATAAAATAAGAAAATCAAGGTTTGTCTCACTTGATACAATCCCACAATGCCTACATTCCAAAAATGTTGAGTGAAAAACTGAACTCTGAAAAAGCAAATAATCTTTTTAATGTCATGCCTTATCATTTAAAGAAGATGAATCATCCATCAGATTTGTCTGTTAATGAATCTAGATTTTTGCATACCAAGTTTGCAGAAAAAGGAGTTAACTTTTTTTGACTTGTATAATCAACAGACTGATTATTATGAGAAAAAATACAGCACAGTGAAACTCACATGAATTCTGGAGTTAGATTTAAGTTAAAATCCCTTTACTGACCACCAACTTGATTACATGATCACATAAGCAAGATTCTTATTGCTTCAAAAAATTTTTTGTATCTTCACAGAAAAATGGGGATAATAATGGTTATTGGAAACGTTTTTTTTGGTAAGATTTAAATTCATTTCAGAATTGTATAGGAAGAGCTTCCATTAATAGGCCTTCAACAAAATCACTGTTATCTGGTACTTTCATGACATAAACACAAATAATGGACACAAAACTGCATATTTACATTAATTAGGCTGAACAAAAAGGGGAACTTTGAACAAACTCATGCTTAATTCTGTGATAAAAGGCACAAGAATGTAAATTGTATCAAGCAAACATTTTCATTAGTTTAAAAATACGCACTATGAGCTTCCTTAGACTTTATTTTCTAGCTTCATGTTAAACTCTTTAAAACAAACAAATAAACACATAGCTACTATTTTATCAGCTATTTAAAATCTGTCAGTTGTAATACTTCTTCTAATGTAATCTAATGTAAAGCTTGTTTGGAGCAGGGCATTGTGGCATAATGAAGCTGCCACCCTCATACCAGCATCCCATATGGATGACAGTTCATGTTCCAACTACTCCACTTTTGATCCAGCTTCCTACTAATGGCATGGGAAAAGCAGCAGATGTTCCAAATGTTTTGGGCGCCTGCCCATGTGGAAGACCTGACAGAGGCTCCTAGCTCCTGGCTTCAGACAGGTCCAGGCCAAGTAACTGCGGTTCCCTGGGTAGTAAGCCATTGGAGGGAAGACCCCTCTTTCTCTGCCCCTCCAACTCTGTAACTCTTTCAAATTAAAAGAAAAAAACTTTTTTTTAAAAGATATGCTTCTTGGGCCCAGCGCAGTAGCCTAGTGGCTAAAGTCTTCGCCTTGCATGCACCAAGAACCCATATGGCTGCCAGTTCTAAACCTGGCAGTCCTGCTTCCCATCCAGCTCCCTGCCTGTGGCCTGGGAATGCAATCAAGGCCATGGAACCCTGTACCTATGTGGGAGACCCGGAAGAAGCTCCTGGCTCCTGGCTTCGGATTGGTTCAGCTCCAGCCGTTGCAGCCGCCTGAGGAGTGAACCATCAGATAGAAGCTTTTCCTCTCTGTCTCTCCTCCTCTCTGTATATCTAACTGCCTTTTCAATAAAAATAAATAATCTTTAAAAAAAAAAAAAAGAAATGTTGACAATTCAGACCAGATGTCTTTTTTTTAAAAAAGATATGCTTATCTAAGAAAATATGATTAAATGTTAAATATCTTAAACTGCAATGGTGGTATTATTCAGGGTTAAAATTATAGCACCTGAATCATAATTATTCTTGCTAATGAGAAACAGATGTAATAAGGACTATCCAAAGCAGCATGTAGCTGAGAAATTGCTTGTATTTACCTTTGAGAACTATAGTTGCTTTCTCTATAGTAGGCTTATCTTCTTAATCACGTTGTGCTTAAGCTAATATTAAAATTAATTTACTTTTGTCAAAACACCAATGAAGTAATGAAAAAAAAAGCATGTACTGGGCAGAGATAAATATCTAAGATTAAATCTGAAATGTACCTGAGTTATTTATAAGTAAGTGATTTATATTCCTATTTATTTTCTTGCAAAAATACACAATGGTTCAAGATCTACATTGTTAATAAGGGTTAGATGATCAGTAGAGAAAAATATCAAAGACATCTACAATTGATAGGTGATTCTTAGAGTATATTTTAGTCTTACAAATCTGTTTACTTTTAATGGACAGATCATATTTGCATATATTTATTAACCAATATGTTTTTTAAAAAAAGATTTATTTATTTATTTGAACTCCAAAATAACAGAGAGGGAGATCTTCCATCTGCTGATTCACTCCCTAGATGGCTACAATGGCCAGGCCTGGGCTACACTGAAGCCAGCAGCTCAGAAATCCCTCTGGGATTCCTATGTGGGTAGAGTGGCTTCAACACTTGAGCCAGCAGCTACTGCTTCCTGAGACACATGAGCAGTAACTAGAATGGGAGCAGAGTACTTGGGACTCGAACCAGAAACTTCAACAAGGGATGCAATCATAAGCACTGGCTCAAC